GTGATGATGATGATGATGATGATGATGATGATGATAGCCAGAAAAAAAAGTCATCACCAATCGTTAACTAGTATAAATGCTCAACGTGACTTGAATAACTTGATTTGCTATTTTATTTTTGCTTTTTTCACTCATCATCAATATAATAATAATAATCATCATCATCATCAATATGATCAATACTCAATTTATCAATTTGTTGAATAGTAGGTTAAGAGTAACACAATCAGATGATCAAATTTGATTTCTCTCTCTCCATCTTGTCTCATTAAATTGTGATTCTTTTTGTATGTTAATCATGAACAATTTTCAATTGCAACATTTATTCAGTTTTAAAGTTTTCTCAATTCTTTATCATGGACCAGTAAACATTTCATGTAATCCTCATGATATTTGATATAAATTTTCTGTATCAAATGGTCAAGTCTCAATGACCTGATTGTTGTTATTTAGTGGTAATGGTCATTTAGAATCTAGTATCTTGTTATTAGTTATTTTTAGACTTTTTCTCTCTCAATGTTTTCGAAATCATCCTATTGCGAAAAAAAAAGTTCTGGTTTTGTTTGAAAAAAACAAACAAACAGATAAACCATGTAACCATCACATGATAATAATATTATTATCATATCATGATCATGATATGAAATAAATTTACTCAATTTTGTTTTGTCTGGAATATAAAATTTTGATGAAATGATTAACTTTGATCAACACACGCAAAGTATATAAATATTACTGTTAACGACAATTAAGAGCTAATTGTTGTTATTTAATGATCTTTATGTTAATGATTCTTAGGATGATCATCATTTCAATTCTCAGATTCATTCAAATAGTTTTACCTTATTCTCACCTTTACCTGGACAACTCACCAAGATTTCCCATTCTCTACTTGAAATGTCCATTTACCTGTCCACTTTCACCACCTCTCTCTCTCTCTCTCTCTCTCTTCTCTCTCACCTTTACACACTCTAAATACAATAAAAACTATTACAACATTAGCTTCAGTAACTGACCATTTGAACACTTAACTCACTGATTGATGGTCTGACTAAAATGTTACCTTTATCATCATTCCTACTCTCCATCTCTCTCATTCCTACCTGAACATACAAACCAATCCATGTATGTGATATATTATTATTATCACATTTTCATGGTAATAATATTGATACATTTTCCAATGTTGAAACTAATCAAAAAACAATCAGAAAATGATTTATTATTTACATATACGAACAGAAGTAAAAAAAAAAAACCTTAACAATTGAAACAAATATTGAAAAAAATTGCATTTCTGTAGCAAACTTACTCACAATCATTGATATAAATTGTTGATTCTTGTTATAAATGATTAATTTATTATCTGCTCCATGTAAACATTTATTTGAGTAGAAATAATTTCTTACTGGATTAAACTAATCACCATAATGTAAATAGATAGTGAGAGAGAGAGTTAGATGATAATAAATGATGATAATAGTTTTGTGTGAGTATATTACAAAATAATTTGTATCCCCAAATGATAATCCTTGATAATGTAATTGTAATACAGTTAATTGGTAATCTGTTTTATCCTAAACAATATGAACACATGAGAAATGCTAATAATCTGTATTATTTCAAACCCTTTTACCTGTTTAACTAACTACCAATTACACCTAATCACCTTTACCATCATTAACTTTACCATAATAATAATCAATGAATGATAATAATTGTTAATCATTATTCATATACTGTAACCATATTATCATTTGATTGTAATATCAATATATACATACGATGATAATAATAAAGATAATAGTAATGAGTATATCCAAACAAATTGTATTGATTTAGATTCAAATTTTTACCTGTTGTTGTTTTTTTACATTTGCTTAACAATCAGTTTTTTTCCCGCTTGAAAACCTTTTACCGTTATAATTTTGAAAACTTTCAACACCGATCAGCTATTAATTGTTGACTTAATTATCTTTACAGTCTAGCGGGAAAATGGGAACCCGAGCTATTATATATTATCTTGCCACCACAATATTTGCAGCCATTTTGGGTATTATACTTGTCTTAATTATTCACCCTGGTGATCCGATTATAAAGAAAGAACTGGGTACAGGTAAGATGATCAGGATCAGTTTCCATTTTGGAATAAATCATTTTTCTTTTACAAATTTTCTTCTCTTTCACTTGTTGTACTCTCTCTCTCTCTCTCTTTCTTAATTAGCCGGAACTCCTCGAAAAGTATCAACAATAGATGCCTTCCTTGATCTAATTCGCAATATGTTCCCTGAAAACTTATTAGAAGCTTGTTTCAGGCAAATGCAAACTGTTTACGTAAATGTCACCAAATCAATACCTGCTTGTGAGTATTATCACCATAATGTCATCATCACCAATCAGTCAAAAGAAAGAAGAAGAAAAAAAAAGTTAATCTCAATTTTCACCTTTTCTTTTCTTCTTGAATATCTTTTAATAATCCTTATCATTGGTGGAAAACTAATCTCAATCATTAATCCTCTCACTCTCTCTCTCTTTAGCCAAGCCAAGCCTTGATGCAAATGTTACTAATTTGATTAATGTAACATTTAATTCAGTCACACCTAAAACAATCACCACTTTGCAAAGATCCTCAGAAATGAAGGATGGCACAAATATTTTGGGTCTCATTGTATTTTGTTCAGCCTATGGTATTGTACTCCAACAAACAGGACCTTCTGGTAAGAATAACTTTCATCACCCTGTACATGAATTTATACCCTTAACCACCATGATGAAACTGTGTTAATATTTTTCTACTCTCTTTCTATTTTTCTATCATTCTAAACGATTATTAGGTGAAGTTATGGTTCGTTTTTTCATCACTCTCAACGATATCATTATGAAGATTGTTATTATTGTTATGTGGTATTCACCACTCGGTATAATGTCACTTATAATAGGTATTGTCATCTAATCGCATTCAACTCTCTTTCCATTCTCAATCTTTCATTATAAATCATATCAATAACAATTTCTATCCACTCATTATACAGGGAAAACTCTTGAATTGGAAGATATTTACGTAACAGCCCAACAATTAGGAATGTACATGGTGACAGTTATCATAGGATTGATTTTACACGCCTGTATAACGCTTCCATTAATATTTTTCAGTATAACTCGACAAAATCCATTAACCTTTTTCAAAGGTAAAACTTAATCCGTTAATCCAGACACAAAAGTACCACCATGAATGAACTTACATATATAAATGAAATCTTTTTTCTTGTCTTTTACCGTTAACTTTTTTGACTACACCAACTTCAGGTATGCTACAAGCTTGGGCTACCGCTTTAGCCACGGCGAGTAGTGCTGCCACTTTACCGATCACATTCAAATGCTTAGAGGAAAATCTTGGTATTGATAAACGGGTAATAAAAAACAATCTTTTCTCAATTAATACCAATAGAAAATTGAACCATTCTAATTATTTACCGTTACTTTTTTGTCTCTCTCAGGTGACTAGATTCGTTCTTCCCGTTGGTGCTACTGTAAACATGGATGGAACTGCTCTTTACGAAGCGGTTGCAGCTATTTTTATCGCACAAATGAATAATGTATGGAAAGATATTCTTTTCCCCATTCTAATTACATAGAGAGAGAGAGAGAGAGAGAGAAAGAAAATTATCTCTTGCCCTTCTCAATATAACTTATCAACTTTTACTTCTCCTTGTCAATTGATTGATTGATTGATTGATTAGCTTATTGTTGTCACTTTTTGATTGATTTTACTATTTTTATACATCTATATTTATTACTAAACAATAGGTACCTTTATCAATGGGTGATGTGATCACTGTTAGTTTAACTGCAACTGCAGCCTCGATTGGGGCAGCATCAGTGCCCTCGGCGGGTCTGGTTACCATGCTTCTTGTGCTCACTGCCATTGGGCTTCCCACAGAAGATATTTCCATGATTGTAGCTGTTGATTGGCTTTTGTAAGTTATCCTTAATATTAATAATAATAATAATGATAATAGTATAACAATAATAACAACAAAACTATCAATTGTTGTCATATTATCACAATTTGAATTGAATTCATCATTACCACTTGATTTCATTTGTTATCATAATCATCATTTACTGGTGATAAATTATCAATTGTTACCAAAAATATGTCTCTACAACATTTAACGTTAATATACTACATTATTATGTATCATTGGTGATCATCTTCTTTATTTCCTCATCATTTTATTCATTTCCTTTTTCCTGTTTCTATTTTTTTTTTCATCTTCATCATCAATATTTACAGAGACAGACTAAGAACATCAATCAACGTCCTTGGTGATGCTTATGGTGCCGGTAAGTTGTTATCATATCATTAGCTTCGCATTATCATCCCAATTGCACACGTATCATCCATGTCACAGACTCTCTCTCTCTCTCTCTTCATTCACCTCCTACACCAACTTTCACTCTTACATATCTCTTAAAATCCTCCCACTGGTCACTCTAACTCACTTGACAATATCACCTTTCATTCACAACATTAACGATAAAAATCAACTCTCATCTAATTGCACTAATCCATTTAACCCATTTTTTACCTTACACTTTATTGCACTCACTTGGATTTCTTGTATTTCACTTTGATTTATTTGCACCAATACTGCACATAAACACACAAACACACAACACACAAATACACACACTTGTGTATACACACACGGACTTGACACATAATCGCACAATTAACACACTGACACACTTAATCCTTTATTGCACTTGATTTTCATATTCAAATTTCATTTCCTTATGCACCTTTGCAATACAATCATTGATTAATTGTTTGCAAAAACAAAAACAACAACAATAATAAATAATACTAGCAATTAATTCATTAAATTGCTGTCAGATGTTGATAAAATGTCTCCAAGCAATTAAACAACAATCATCATCAGTTTTATTAGTAAACAGTTTCAGCTTTCACTTGGCAATTAGCTAATTGATTAAAAGCCCAGAAAATCAAACACAGACCAAGAAAAAAAAACTGAGCATCACCAATAGATTATAATGAAAATATATCATCATGAAATTCAATATCTCCACCAGGACAGAAAAACTGATTCCCAATTCAGAAAGAGCCAAACAAAACTAAAACTACTGCAACTGAAAACTTTGCAAATTGTTTTGCTCAATTGTTAAAGGTAAACAAAGTTCCTGGTTGATTTGCAAACTGAAAACATCAACAAAAACAGCACAGGAATTAGAGATAATCAATGAACCTCATGAAACCTAATTCCTGGTTGAAAATGCTACACACACACTCCAAGGTCTAATTGCAATAACAATTTACTTCCTTGTGTGTGTTTATTGCTCTGTTGTTGTTGTTGTTGTTGGGTTTGCATTCCTGGTTGAAGCTTTGACCTTACAAATTGAGCCTTTGGAAACAAGAAAGCCAAGTTATCAAGCAGAAAGTACAATTAATTTCATCATCTGAAATGTCTCAATATAAAAATAATCGCAGGTATTTGAATCAGGATTTTATAATCTTGAGAGTAGATTAATAACAAATTAACAACAATCAACATAATCCAATTACACTATCCCATTGAAAAGCTAAACTGATGAAACAATCAATCAATTTTTACTCGAGAAAAACAAAAAGCTAGGATATTATATCAATAATTTAACAGTTAATTTCTTAGTTATAGCAAATTGTAAACTGTCACCATAGTATTTCAAAAGTTAATTGTGTTTAAAAGTTTCTTTCTGATTCTCTCTCAATTGATAATCTAATTTACATTCACATTTAAATGAATCAACAACTGAACCACCCTGATTTCTGCATACATACATACATATATATGTACATATATTAAGTGTATGTGTGCCTGTAGTTTGATATTAAATTGGTTGGAAAAAAAAATCCATATATAATTAAAATGCAAATTCAAAGTGTATATATAATAAAAAAGGTGTGACACTTTTTTAATTGAGCTTAACTACAACATTTAACTACCTGTTAAATTGTCATGAAAACAATTTAACAAGCCAACTATTAAATTTACTTGTTTGACAAAAGTTTAAATAGTTAAGTTGATCAACAAATTGTTACGAGAAATTGTGAAAAATGTATATACGTACATACATATGTAACTATTAATAGGAAAACAAATGGAGGAAAAACTTTTCTCTCATATTTTATCAACAATTAACTTAATCACTGAGTTAGAATTAATTTTTTTCTCTCTCTCTCTCTTTGATTAACCAATTAACCTTAATAACTGAATATATTTATTTTTATATGGCAACTAATCAAGTAATCAACAGTTTGCCAAAGAGTAACAATCTAATATATTTTTCTTGATTAATATTTTTGCAACATACGAGTAACTTTATCAACATGAATCAAATTAAATGATTGTAATAGTTAAAATTAATACACTGATTAAATGATAAATTGTCTTCAATTGTAAATACTTGAACAATTTACAATTAAACTGACAGATTAACTTTTGTTTTTCTTTGATTCCTCTTGTTCATAGGATTGAATTTGCATTTTGTTTTTCGCAATTAACTTTTTCTATGTTCTCGAGTCTCTTTTCAATTTTACTCACTGTCATCAAATTTAAAGCAATTAATTTGCTTTCTCATTGATTAAAATTCAAAACAAATTGTAATTATTTAAATCTCTTTCTCTTTCTCTGTCTCTCCATCTCTCTTAATTGCTACAATTTAAAAGGTATCGTCTATTATTTGTCCAAAGATGAACTGGATAAGTTTGATCATGAACATGGACTAGAACTACTGGAATCACAGAGACAAACGGGTAAGTTAATTGTTAATCTAATCTAAATTAAACTAACCACAATCAAGAGATAATATCTTGAGAAAAAAAAAGTTATCCTTCATTTATTAATATATTTTAATTTAATCATTTCTGATTGTGATCAACAAAGTTTCATGCTAACTTTAATTTGCCTTATTATTAGTTTGTTACATTTGTATATTATTTTCATTGCATTCGTATATTTATTAATTTAATTTAATTTAATTGCAATAATTTAATCATTATTATCACCGAGAAAAGTAACTTTGTTAATAGTCTTAAAAATTAACATTGCAACAAGAACAGGAATCAAGTAAATTAATCTAATCAGTATTTGTATATTATTACATATATGAGATGCTGATGATAAGATTATCCTGGTTAATCTTGTTTTTATTTTTCTCCTTCATCTTATCAGAATTTTAATCTACTCATTGGTTTGCTTTATCCTTATTATTAAGATTATCTAATGTAATTGAGCTTTTTCATTTCGCCTCACACTGTAACATGAATATCTACAGTGTGTGTCATTTTCTAATTCCTATTGATCACCATCAATTTTAAATCTCTGTGACAATTATCACCTTTCACATTCCCATTCACACTTACACTCACACACACATAATACACGATCACATATTCACCATTGAAACAATTTAGTAACAATTAAAAAATCACATTGAAAAGATTAGCATTTAGTTTAGATTATCAAGTTGACTTTAAGATTTTTCTAATTAATTTGATTGTTAGTCATGATCATTATTATTATACATAAGTGACTATTGTTTATTCAATTGCTATCTAATAACAATTAAACATCAGTTAAACGTAATATGATAATTTGATTATAATCAATAAGAATCAATCATTCAACTTGCTAATATCTTTATATTATTATTATAAGCATAATTAATCAACTGTAGCTGCTAATTTATTGTAATATAAATGTTATTATAATAATAACCAATTTTGTTTCATTTGTATTGGTCCTAATAGTAATCATAATCTTGAGTTAATTATTACTTTAATTGGGTTTAAATGATGCATGTTGTTTACAATATAATACAACAATTGTTGATTAAATAATCGAATAACTTTGAATGAATTAAAATCTTGATTCTTGTCATAATTAAATTACATTCACCTAATAATATTACAATATCTCTATCATATTGTAACAATTTCCCTGGAATGATAATAATGTTACCTTAATACCTTTTACCTTGATTGCTCCAAGCATTGTACTTGACCTTTTTAACCTCCATACACACACACACACACATACACTCCCAGTAATCTCAGTTGAAATTATTATTATTATTATTATTATGATAAAAGTCTAAGGCAAAAACTGTATTAACATAAGATTATTATCATTTTGATCATTATAATTATATTATTATTATTGTTTTTCTCATATTATAATTTACCGTTATAATTATGATCATTATTTATCATATATGATAATCACCAACTTATCATCTTCTCATCATCTTCTTCTTCTTCTTCCTCTTTGATGCTTAACATGGACTCTCTCTCTCTCTCTCTCTCTCTCTCTCTCTTTCTCATCTGCTGACCATGAATCTTTTTCCACCCGTGCCCATAGGCTTTTAGGTTCAAGCACTAGCAACTGTTAAACTTTAACCTCTGGACTTGCACCCACCAGTTAATGAGTATGGTTCATTTCATCAATCTCTTAATATCTCTCTCCCTCTTACTCTCTCTCTCTCTCTCTCTCTCTCTTTCTCTCTTTCTCTTTCTCTCTCTGAATCTCTTTATTTCATTATGAATTCATGATTCTAACTCATTTATATATTTATCATTGAATGTTCAGAATATAATTTAGAATTGTATAAATATAAGAACAGAAAATGTTATGAGCTTTGCAATTTTAATAGTTACTGATTTTTTATTCGTCTCCTATGATTAGTTGAGCATTTATATTAATATCTATCTGGATACGAAATCACATCCCTGGTACCAGAACTTTCACTTTTGATGATTTTTTTAAAAAAAGTTATTTTCCAAGAAAATCAATTAATATCATGATTATCATGATAATCCGCCATGTTAAATATTATTATTCTCTCTATTTTCATCATCTTTGTCTTTACTTTATCTTTTCTTACCTTCTTCTTAACTGATTACATCTTCTTCTTTTTTTTTCATCTTATCATCCTCATCTTCATTGTTATTTTTGACTTATTATCTTTTTTTTTCATATTCCAATCTAATCTAATAATACATCACTTTGATCCAAGATTTTTGTTATTGTTGAAAAGCTTTTAGCATCAATCAGGGAATTGATTCAGAACTTTTTTCGGTTTCAAGAACTCTCTTTCATTTTCTATGTGATATTAATTATCTTCAAGTTGTTCCAAAAATGATTCTGAATCTTTCATGCTGATTCAGATTATGTGTCTTCCTTAATATCCTGACTTTTCCATCCTTCTTATGAATATTTATCTTCAATTTCTGTAACTAAATCTTTAATTTTTCATCTTCTCTCTCTTTCTCTTTATCTCTCTCCCTCGCTCTTATTGGTATAATGCCATGGTGAAAGTGGGAGGATGAGGAGGTGGAGGTGGAGGTGTGATGGATGGAGTGGGTTAGAAAACAGAAGTTTCTGTTTTTTTGTTTTCTTTTCTATTGACGTTCTCTCTCTCTCTCTCTCTCTCTCTCTCTCTCTCTCTCTCTCTCTCTTCCTTTCTCTGTTTCTGTCATATCATCTAATTTGATATATCAGCCTCTAGGAAAATTGCCTGAGGCGATGTTACTGAAAACACACAGAGAGAAAGATTGAAATGAATGAAAGAAGTTGAAAGGATAAAAGAAAGAGAAAAGAAAAAGGAAGAGAGAGAGAGAGAGAGAGAGAGAGAGAGAGAGAGAGATTAAACTAAATACAGAAAATGAGAGGAAGAAAGAAATGAAAAGTTGAACTGAACTGAACTTTTTCATTGTGGGAATTGTTTTCCACCATGATGCTTATCTCGGTGTTCAATTAAATGCTTTGGCTTTTATTATTTTAACCAATTGTAACAATACACAATTACCAGAGGTAAAATCAAATGTCATGATAAGTCTGTAGAGGCTCATTTAGATATATTATCATGGAAAGGGAAAAAATTACTAAATAATTTGCCAACATTTTAGCTCATATCTTTCCCCCCCCCCTGTTACCTGGTTAAGGTAAAGGTGTTCAAGTTGTTGGTGGTGATAATGATCATATTATACCCACCACAATGTTGATAGCTATTATTTTGATTATCATAATATACTTGGTTTTTTGATGTGATTATTTATCATGAATCAGGAAATTACACTTCAGTCAACATTAGGAGCACACACACCGGAGTGAAAATCAGTTCTGTCCATGTTTGCAAATTTATGATTAGCAATACATGATAATATTGCAGGAAATATGATGATGATTCTGATTCTGAGCATTCATTCAGTGAGTAAGTGAATGAGAGAGAGAGAGAGAGATGATGTTCACTAACAAAGGGGAGATAAATACAAAATGTATGTGAAAAAAAGTGAAGCCCAAACCTTATTCAAGGTGACCTTTGAATTTGTGATAGAGAGAGAGAGAGAGAGAGAGAGAGAGAGAGAGAGAGAATGTTAACCCAGGATAGTTATAATAAAGGAGATGAAAATGATGAGAGACTAGAGAATGAGAGTGAGGAAAAAACGAAAGAAAGAAAGAAAGAAAGGGCCCAACCTTGATCAGAAAGAGAGAGAGAGAAAGAGAGAGAAAGAGAGAGAGCAAAAAAATCTTATCGATCGATTTCAACCTTTTCCTGAGCAATCTCAATGCCGAACTATCATCTGAGCCCTGTAATTGAACAAAAACCAAGAAAATATTGGCTTTTCATGATGAGCTGAGGGAGGTACAATAAAGAAAGACTTTTCTTTGGCTCTCTCTCTCTCTCTCTCTTCCACTAATTCACCTTTTTATACATTATTCCTGAGCCTTGTTACTCTTCATCATCATCATCATCTCTCTCTTTCTTTCTTACTCTTTCTACACCATTTACATGAAATAATGTTGTCTGACTCAATGAATGATGTGTTATTTTCATCTTCATCTTCACTTACTCAGCTTCTCATGAACTATCTTTATGTTTTCCTTTCTCATTTTCTTCATTCTATCTCCTCCTTTTCCAATACCCACCTCCACCCTCTCCCTCTCTCCTTTCTCTCTCATTTACCTCCTCCTTCTCCTCCTCCTTTCACCGTTAACTTTATAAGAAAAAAGTTTGACATTTGATGCATTTTCAATCAACTCAATATAATACATAATATCATTTCAATCTAGTAAATAAATAGTAAATTCAAAAGTTATCTTACATTATATCTAATAAAAGGACTATTAGAAATGTCAAATTTTTGTTTCCCAGTTTCAGCTCTGATTCTGTTATTTTCAATCTTCATGCAAACTGGATTACACTAAATTGCAAATAGCTTTTGATTAAGACTTACAAGATTGATTTAAATTGTTCCAAGTGATCAAAATCAATCTCCATTAAGGTTAACTTATCATAGTTTTCTTGTTTATTTTTTTCTCTCCTTCGCTCATCATAACAACATCATCTTCATCAACCTGATCATTTGCTGATTTACCATGAAAATCTATGGAAAAATAAAGGAAACCAAAGTAAATGAGTAAATAGAAAACAGTAGGAAGAAAATTTTAACAAGGGAGAGAGAGAAAGAGGAAGTTGAAGATGATCAGAAGAAGGAGGTTGGTGTGAGAGAGATAATGATGATGATCAAGAAGAAGGAGAAAAGGAGGATTGAATCTGAGAGAGAACAGAGAAGAAAAAAAAAGAATTGCAAGAGAGAGAAAGAGAAATTAATAACAACATGAAGCTTTACGATTCGATTCGAAAAGAGATGAAAAAATGTTAGAACTTTTATTTTTGTCCTTCTCACTCGAACGATAACCCATTGAAAAAAAAACGATAAGAATGATGAAGAGTAGGTGAGGGGATGATAGATGGAAGCAGAAAGTTATGGTAGAAAGATCAGTTTTGTCCAGAATATAGAGACTGGTCAATGGTCAATAGATGTGTAAGCACCATCGAAGATGAAGATAAAGATAAAGAATTGGAATTCGAGCAACCTTAGTATTTTTTTCTCTCTCTCACTTCTTTTTCTCCCAAAGATCAACCTCATCATCATCATCATCTTTTTCTCTCTTACTTTTTTTTATAAGAAAAACGAGATTTTTACCAAATAGAACTCGAACAATATCGATCGAATTAAAGTTATATATAATATATATCGAAACAAAAAAAAATAGATAAACAGAAAAACTCTTTTGCTTTGGTTACTATTTTACTTTTTTTCTCTATCAAATTTTATCTCTCTCTCTCTCTCTCTCTCTCTTTCTCTTCTTTTATTATATAATATAATTTATTTCAAGTGAATGTCCATCTTTAGATTGACCTGACATAGTGTTTGACCTGCAAATATTTCGAGGTAAAGGTAAAAAGAGAGATAAAAATAAGCAAAATCCAACTGAATCTTTGAAAATTTGCTTCAGAACTTTTCTCCCAATGTAAGATAAGATTGATTGTTTTTCACTTCTCCTTTTGCTTCCTAATGGTTTCTAGTTTTATCATCATCATCATCATCATCATCAAGTCCATCAACAAGGTCTTACCACCCACTTTCAAAATGATAATAATAACAATAACAATAATAATGATAATAATAATAATAATGATATTAAGAAACAAACTCCCAGATGATAAACGTTTGATAAAAATCATGTTGATCAGAAATTTTAATCATTCTGTAAACTTATTTTCTTGGAAGTTAATTTTCCAATCAAATTAAACATTCACAATTATTGAGCTAATCAACTAATCAAGAGAATCTACAAAAAAAAACAAACAATTTAAAATCCTCGTTGTCGTTGTTGTTGTTGTTGTTATTTAATTTTCCTTTTGATTACAGTTTACTAATTGTGCATGAATTTAATACTATTTCCAATAATATTAATTCAATTGAGAGACACACTTATTGTTTTCCATGTCTCAATTAATTAGTTTAATCAATGTTTCTAGTGATAAAATATTATTATATATTTTTAGTTAATTGTAGTTAGTTGGCTTAATTTAATTTAATTTTTGTTAAATTGCTATTGGCTTAATGTTGATTTTTTCTTGTTCATTTGATTCTGTCATTTAAATTGTACAACTATTAGTAACTATAGTAACTGTAAGTTAAATTGTAGCTTTAATGATTTAAAACAAATTATCATGATTATACATCTGAGCATGTATATTGGATGAATGGGAGAGTTGTATTAACTAAATATGATATGTATATTGATTAATAATAATAATTAATCACAATTAACTTATTGTCTAACTGATAATTAAGCTCCTCTTCCCCCCCTTCCTTCATAAGTACCGTTAGGAAAGAGACAACAATTAAATGATGATTTTAATTTCATCACAAAAGAGGAAAAAAAATAATATAAACGTTAATCCAAATACTAATAAGTAGATTTTGATTATATTTCTAATTATATATCTGAACATTTTAGATTAAAGTTTCATATTGATTTAATAGATTACCAGAGAGATTATTATTAATAAATTTAATCCATTATCCTAATTGTATTATATACTTTTCTGTGTAACTTTTATATATAATATATTATTTACGAGCTAATTAATTGTTTTGTTGACCTTTTTTTTTTGTTTCTATTTTTGTTTTTGTCTTTTTTTTTTGTTTTGTTTTGTTTGTTTGTTTTTTTACAAACAATTTGTTTACAGGGCCAAGAAAATTGTCAATGGTATCGCCGACTAGAGGTGGACATCAGAATGCATTATCACCAAGTAATCCGGAAACGGAAATTTAAAAAACAAAAAATCTAATTAACTTGATCACCGATACAACAAAAACAATTCACCTTATTGATTAACAATATTTCACAATCAACACACTCACACACACACATACACATATAAACACCTTAAACTCACACAAACACCATCACTTACTTGCCCAGTTACACCAACAACAATAACATCATCATCATCATCATCATCATCTCCATCATCAGCTGATCACAATTAAATCAAATAATTGTTTAAATTTCACATTTTGACACAAAAACAACAACAACAACATAATCAAAATCTAGGAAAAAAAAGATTGAAAAACAAAAACAAATCGATAGCAACTGATTAATTAAATTGAACACCAAGTAAAACAAAAAGGATCATCATAATCATATCATCATCTTAATAGAGCAATTAATAAATTAATGATATTAATTGATTATAAACAAAAACAATTGTATGCATAGGTACACAGATCGAGTGATAATCAAGTAAATAGCCTGAAGGGGAAAAACAATGTTTTTTAGCTGCTCAAGCTACACCAATATATCAGTTTTCAATGTAATTTTATCAAACTAAACCCACTCTCTTATTTTTCATTGTTTACCCACTACCATCATCATCATCATCATCATCATCATTAACATCATCTCCATCACCAGTATGACCTTCACCCGTTTTCATGATGAAGAAAAAGTTTCATCAAAACTTTAAGAATAATTATAAATCCGTAATTCTAATACAGAAAGAGACACTTACATTCACTAATCTCATGAATATCCTATCATGATCATCATCTTGGTGATATTTATCATTGGTTCATGGGATCATCTGAATCTACTGATACTTCCTGTTTTTACCTATGGATTAAATGATTAACGCAATTTAATCAGTGATATTAATCGTAATTCAATTCAACTTTTTCTCCCTTCTTTCTTTCGGATTAGAAGTAAAACTTTTCCATCAATTCAACAACAACATATCATATTATCAATACAATATCGATGATGATGATTATGATTATGATGTCGATCACCAATCAATATCGATGGTAATATCTTATTGGCGGATTTAATTGCGATTTTCCATCAACTTTTAATTTGTTTTTCTTTTCTTTTCTTCTTCTTCTTCTTCTTCTAAAGTGTTATTAGTAATTAAGCTGAAAATTATTGTTGATTTTTTTTTCTTTCAACTTCTTTTCAAATGGTTACCATGGTTCCGTTCTGTGGTGTCCAGTGTGCTTCCTACTATCAAACATACAAATCAACACTCTCACTCTCTCAGTCATCAAGAAACAAACACCGATAATTAATCAAAATTAACGTAGTGACACCCAGAAATTTATATATATATCCATCAACAACGCATCAACAATTAACTAATCATCATCATCATATTGAACAAAACTGTGACAAGTAACAACAAAATTAAACTTTGCAATTAAAACATGATTATCATATCATATGGTTTAAATAACAAAATAATATCATCACTAACAATTAACACAACAACAACAACAACAACACACTCGCCTTTGCTCATCTTTTGAGAAGAAACTAAATCAATCTAATTAATAATCTAATAATTTAATGATAATAATACTTTAAACATACAACACAACACGTAACCACTCACATGAATACCCACTCAAGATTATAATTAAAAACTGACCGAATCACTGACCGACCGACCGACCGATTAACTGACAACAACACCAACCTAATATTCAACCAATTTAATTGTTATTAAATTATAATTGTTAATTATTATCATTGAACCTTAATTATTGTTATTAAGGTTAAATCACCACAATGGAGTTGATTTTATTGTTTCAATTTTTTCCTCTCTCTCTCTCTCTGCCAATCAATTCAATCAACAATTAATCAACACTCATCTTAATCATCATCATCAATTTTGATTTGTTGCTGTTGTTGTTGAGACGGTGATGATTTAATGAAAATCAATAACTATTAATAATAATGATTAACAATTTGTTAATGATGATAAAAATTAATGTTACATGTAAATAGTTATAAATATAAATAAGTGTGGTCTCTGTCTGATTATCAATTGAATTGTTTGTTAATTAATCAATTAAACAGAAAAAAAAACATCCTAATCAAATTGTTGTAAACACGTTGATTGGGTGTGTATGTGTCTGTGTGTTTGTGTGATTAAGTTAATTACATTAATCAATTTCATCATCTTACTAATTAACTGATTAACTAACAACCAAAAAAAAAACTACACTTGATGCATAATAATAATATCAATAATATTACAATTTAACTAATCACAATTAATATGAAAATCTTTAAAAAAAATGATAAAAGTTACAATTAATATAATTTAGTTAACTAATACTAACAATTAATTAATTACTCTCTCTCTCTCTCCCTCTCTGATTGTAATACTAAAACTAATCTGTAATGATAATCAATTAATATAAATCAATTAATCATGATTAATGATGATCATCATTTAACTGTTTGCCTGATTATGATTACAATTATGTATTCATTGATATATTATATATATACATAATTAGTTAATTAACTAATTAACTATTGAGAGAATCAACAATTTACAACAACAAATCATTTTTATTTTGATCAACAAACAACAATTAACTTTAATTGTCTTTACTTGTTTAACCCTTTATGTTTACAATTAACTTTTAATTTTGCATTTTAAACTTTTTTTTGTCTTTTTCTTCATTTTTGAAACAATTAAACATCACAATTATTATTAATTAACTAATTTGATTGAATTTATTTTAATTTTTCCCCATTCTCCAATCTGATTTTGATAAACTTTTAATTTTTCCATTTAATTTGGTTTGTAATCATTTTTTTAATCATAAACAATTAAAGGTAATCATTTTTATTAACCATTTAAACAAGAAACAAAAAGTTTTAATCAATTGGTGCCACAGATTATGATTATCATTGAGAAACAATTAACACAAAAATTGATTGTTATAGTTAATATATTTTGTTAATTATCATTGCAAAAACTTTGAATGTGCTGATTTGATTAGTTTCATTTTTCTCGTTGGTTTGATGGTTAAAACAATTAGAATTGATTAGTTAATTACATTTAATCAGAGAGCGATGATGATGATGATGATGACGATTAAAACCTTGAAAATGTAATCATTTAATTACAGAATTAAGGGTTAGAACTTTTCTTTTCTCTCTCTCAAATCAAATTCGAGATTAGATATAATTATATGATCTCATGATTGAATTGAATCCACTTAAAGAAATCGTGAACATATTAACCAGAGATCATCATGAAAGTCTCAGAGTAATTAATCAATGGAAATGAACTTTTTTTCTTTCAAAATTCTGTTTAATTTGACAATTCGATTAGATAATCAGTTAATCATAATGGTGATGATGATTAAATGAAAAGAAAATTTTAGAATCAAAAAGAAAACGAAAACTTTTCCACAAGTAATTAACTTTAAATTCACTCTAATTGACACAATACAAACACTCACACTCACACTCACACTCACGTTCACATTCACATTCATATGAAAACACAATCACCGAGACTTTTAATTGTAATCAAATTCATGGAAAACAATTAGTTAATTGTATTATTTATAAGATAACCAAAAGTGTTCAAATATCTGTTAGAAGTACAATTAAGAAAGAGAGAAAGAAAATTAAGCAAACCAATCAAACTAATTACTGTCAATTGGAAAGACTCAAATCAAATATATATTGTATCATAATACTAATCATCATTGTGTATCATCATTAACTAATTGTTCAAGGAAAAACATTTTCTTTCTATGTTAATTATTATTATTATCATCGTTTCCATCATCATTAATCATCCTCTCACTGATCACTTTGTAATCTTACAATAATTCATCAATAATTAACACCAAGAATTCAGAATGCTGATTGTGGTAATAACAGAATGAAAAAAAAAACAAACTTTTCCCAACAATTTGCCTTTTCTTTCAAATCGAAAGTTAGAAAACAAACCAAAACAATTACAATTAAAGACGATTAACAATTAAACACTTTAATCAGCTAATTAACTTTTAACTTTCGGTCAACAGTCAACAATTAATATCATTTTTAATTGTTCATTTGTCTGATTATCCTCTTGGTGGTTGACAATGTTAATCAAACGCTTTTGATTTATTATTAGAATCGTTTATCAGTTCAAATCAATTCTGATTGATTGTTAGCCTGAAAAACTTTCAACTTGATTAGATTAGTAATCAATTTATCATCATCAACAATTTTCAAAACTCAACAATCAATCAGAAAGAAAATTATTTCAATCATAAATCTTTCAAATAATTGATTGTTGTCAAGTTTAATTAAGTTTTTCTTTTCACCAATCATATTGATTTATCATCATCATTACAATTGAAATTGATCAGTTTGGTTAAATTGCAAACAATTAAAAGTTAATACAATAATGATGAAGCATTTTAAATTAACATTACAACAACAATTAATATATTAACTACAAATAATATCTGTTGATATTGAGCAGTAATCAACTTGAAATGGTTAATCACAACAATTAAAGAGAATGAGAAAAATCAATTTCTCAAGATTAACAATTATCTTGATTAGGTTTTCTCATCCATCGATAATCAAAGACAAGCAATTAATTAGTGTCAACGATTGATTAAGTTTTCATCAATTCTCAATGAAAAGTTGAAAGCTTGATTCAGTTAATATTACAATCAAAGTTGTTTATGATTCAAAATAATTTTACACATTGTAAACAATTAAAAGTTAATTGTGTCCGGTAAATGGTTCAATGAGTTGCTAATTGTTGATTCGTTTAATTTTTTTAATTACTGTGAGAGAAAAATGTTAATCAAATATCAAGTGAAACCTTGGATTCTATTGAGTCATTTATTTGTTTTAACGTTAATTTCATCATGTCAACCTCACCCATCATCTAATCACTCAACTGACCATCACCACAACGGTCAGTTTAATGGTCAACATGCGAACCAATCATCATCATCCTTCATCCCTCTTCCTCCTCCACCCAACATTATTGTCATGCTTATGGATGACATGGGATTTGGTGATTTAGGAGTCAATGGTGATCCTAATCATGATACACCTAATCTTGACTCTTTGGCCTCGGCGGGAATGTTATTGACCTCATTTTACTCTTCATCGCCCCTGTGTTCACCTTCACGAGCCTCCCTGCTGACCGGTAGACTGCCCATTCGTAATGGTTTTTACACTGATAATATTGATGGACGAAACTCTTATACACCACAGGAAATTGTCGGTGGAATTGATCATCAGGAAATCACTTTGGCTGAGCTTTTATCCGATTCCGGTTATCATACAGCTCTCATTGGTAAATGGCATTTAGGTCATAGGCCACAATTTTTACCACGGCAACATGGTTTCAATACTTTCTTTGGATCAACTAATTGTCACTTTGGTCCATATGATAATAAAGTCCGACCAAATATTCCCATTTATCAGGATGACCTGATGGTTGGTCGATATTTTCAAGATTTTATCATTGATCGGGCTAATTTTGTCTCAAATTTGACACAAATTTACACCCAAAAAGCACTAGATTATATTGCATCTCGAGTTGAGGCCAATTCGGGTCCATTTTTCCTCCTATGGTCTCCCGATGCCAGTCACGCACCTTCTTACCGATCGACTCAGTTTATTGGTTCCTCCCGACGAGGATCACCTTATGGTGATGCTCTAGTTGAACTGGACTGGGCAGTGGGTCAAATTGTCAATACAATCGCTGCCTCTCCGTTCACGGCTAATAATACTTTGATTTTTTTCACCTCCGACAATGGACCTGCTCTTGTCTCTAAAAATGACGCTGGTTCAGCAGGTCCTTTACTTTGCGGTAAACAAACAACCTTTGAAGGTGGATTTCGAGTACCTGGAATAGCTTACTGGCCGGGGGTCATCGAACCAGGTACAAAATGGACTAAAGCAGTTTCTTTTGTCGATCTATTTTCCACCCTTGTTGAAATTTCCAATTCATCTCTACCAACAGAACGACCAATAGATGGATTCAGCTTTGCGTCCAGTTTAATCAATCCCATGAACTTTTCTCAGCCAGATAGACCAGTTTACTTTTATCGAGGTAACCGACTTATGGCCATTCGTTATGGACAATATAAAGCTCACTGGTTCACCTGGACAAACTCTTTAGCCCAATTTTCAACGGGAATCGACTTTTGTCCCGGATCATTTGTCCCTGGAATCACCACTCACACTCTATCCAATTACACCCTTTCCCCTGCCCTTTTCCACCTAGGCCGTGACCCCGGTGAACGTTACCTGATACCAACTCATTCACTTGAGTACAAGAAAATAATTCCAACTTTTAATTCAATCTACATTGACCATCTCACCTCAATGGAACCCGGTGAGCCCGCTCTCAATTGGTGCGACCTTTCAGTGATGCACTGGTCACCTCCAGGTTGCCAGGAACTGGACGATTGCCTACCAATACCACCATCGAAACCTTATAAATGTGATTGGCCTCATTAACTGACCATCAAGAAAATACTGATGACCTTTAAGATGAACCATTAACCTAAACCTAAAAGTGAATGAAAATCATTTCCATTATGGATTAAGGATGAAAATCTAATCATTTACATTAACAATCTCATAATTGAATTACAATTAACATGCATTAAACATGAAAGGGAAAACCACCCACCCAATTGAATCAACAATTAAATCAACAAACATTTCATACATTAAATTATATCAAATCAAGTAACCTTTAAATCATTTCTAAGACAATCAAATTGACAACAATCAACAACTATTAATAAAACAAAAACTCCGTAGGAGTTTGAGTGACATTTAAAAGTATCAAATATCATCAAATTAACTGTTAGGTAAACAATTAACTAATAGTTAACCATAATCACAATTAATAAATGATATTTCAAATGAGGTAACCAAATTAAATTAAAGATACGCCCATGGAGATGGTAACAATCAAAGTGGCTGATGGTTACACTTTGATTTACTTTCTGGTTCCCAAAGTGTAAGTTAATTGTTTCACCTTGATTATTATTAACTTTCCATTGTTTTTTTTGGTCAATTGTTACCATTTGAAAACTAATTGTTCAAATTAAACCAAGAATAATGAAACGAATCACCGTTAACAGTTCCGATGAGATGATTAAAGCAATTGAATCAGTCTCATCAACTTGTGATAAAATTTGGCTTCTATTTACTGGATCAAAAGATGCCACTGGTCAATCTTGGTGTCCAGATTGTGTCACTGCCCATCCGGTAATTGAAAGTTGTCTCAGTGAATATGAAAAGGCTCATGACGGAGCGGAAAAAGTGGCCTTTATCACCGTTGAGATCGACCGAGCAGATCATAAAAACTTGAACAATTATTATCGCACCAATAAGGATATACAATTAAAATGTGTTCCCACCCTAATGTTACATGGACAAGTAAGTTGATTAAATAACAATTCTAATTGTTTATTATTATTGTTGATTCAGTTGTTGATAAACAACAACAATTAGCAACATTAATCAACTGTTTCATTCAGTTTGTTTTTTCCTTACCTTTTAATTAATCTGTCAATTGTTGTTGATTAATCATGTTTTCCCTCAATGGGATCATTATTATCAATGAAACAGTTGATAATTTTTACTATTTCATAATTTTTAGCACAATTAACTAATCATACTCTTTGTTGTTATTGTCATTTACAGCTTAACATGAGATTGGCTGAAGATAATTTAACTGATCCTGATTTAATTGATGAACTGTTAACCTTGTGATTATCCATTTGGAATCAACTCAATCACTAAATCAATGGAGTCTCTTTTTTTTATTCCTCCAATTTAATTGCTTGGTAGAAACTGGATCAATCTAAATACATACGATAATCAAAATGGTGTAAGATTATCAATGAGATTAAAGATTTTTTTTAATGCTTTTGGTTTTTCACAAAAAAAAACTTGATTTAATAATTAAATTTAATAATCTTGATTTGAATTTAGGATGATTAACCTCCGATAGTTGTATTTGCTTGTTTAAAACTGATGATTGGGTAGATCTAATCATTGTAAGGAAAGAAAGACAAAGACAAAAAAGTGAAGAAGAGAAAGAGAAAGAGAGAGAGAGAGAGAGAGAGAGAGAGAGAGAGAGAGAGAGAGAGAGATGAGGATGGAAGTGGGAAAACATGGGTGATGGTGGTGAAAGTCTTGGTGGTGGGAAGGAGGATTTCATCCAAGGAAAAACGATAAGGTTAAGGAACATATCACAATAATTTCTATTATTATTGCACTCTTTCAAATTGAAGATCAAAAACCAAACAATGGAGAGCAAAATTGTATATATAAATCATCATCTTTGTGAAAATCATCAAGGTGGGTAAGTGGAAGGAGAGGAAGAGGAAATGAAGAGAGGGACAATTTAAGATTTAAGAATGTCTTGTGTATAAGTGGTGGTTGGTGTATATTTTTTGTGTGTTTGTTTGTGTTGTTTGAGTGTCTAAAAGTTGACAGTTATGGTTATTGTCGAGAAAGTGAGAGAGAGAGAAAGAGAAAGATAGAGATAGAGAGAGAGAGAGATACTAAATAATTAATTCATCAATCAGGTTAAACAAACAAATTGGATCAAAACAATATATAATACTAATTGCAAGTAGTAGTAGTTTATGGTTTAGATTGAAAAACTTGAAGCTTCAGTAGTAATTAGTTCAATTGTTTGGTGGGCTAGACGGTAGAGTGGTAAATGTTTTTATCTATGACCCGGAAGTTGACGCATCTTAAGTGATCCATCAGCTCCACAGGAAAATAATCGACCAACATTATCAACGTAAAGATGAGAAACTCCCATTCCTATGTTACGGAATAGAGTACTGCGTGAGTGTTCACCTAGGTAAGAGTTTACAATTGATTGGGGAGGAATTAAACTCCAAACCTAAATTAATGAGCGAGAGAGAGAGAGAGAGAAAAAAAAGAAGAAGATAAAATTAGTATATTTAACCATATTAGCTGAATTGACTTGTTATTAACCTTAATATCACCATCAGCTGATCCGGTAACGAAAAATTCCTCCCCTGGATCAAGGGTCATACATTTAATGGCGGAATCATGGGCTTGGAATTTATTTCGTTGGGTTCGTTGTCTCATATCAAAGATGAATACTTCACCTTTCTTACCACCAGTGATGAGCAATTGATTTAGTGGTGCATAAAGAACCACCGAGGCACCATGATGCTCATGGCAAGAAAATGAACTGACCAGTGACTTTTTAGCTGGTAAAAGAGTATCCCACATGCAGATATTTTTATGATCAGTTGATTGACCAGCGGTTATGATTAAAGATGAAGATCCAAGGAAGGTAAAGTCACTGGCGTGTTTGGAATGAACTTGCATACTCTATAAAGAAAACAAAGAAACAAAAGTAAATTGATTCAATTAATTTGAGATGAATTCATTTTCTACAACAAATTGATTTAAACTCACAAAGAATGGTTTAGTTGAGGAAGTACATAATGCAACCTGCCATAGGCTTAGATTACCATCACCATCGGTTACACCAAATTTATTACCGATCTGATTGAAAGCGACTTTGGTAACTTTAGCAAAAGTTCCGGGAGCTCGAGGAGATGCTAATGGATTCTGATGTTTCCATTCCCATAAGTTTACTGCTCCATCTTGAGATCCAGATAAATCTATGGATAATTTCAAGAAAATCAACAATTAAATCAACAATTGTTTTGATATTTTCTTTGCATCATCAATTATTATCTTACAATAAGGTAAAGTTGGATGAGAACATAGTCTTCGAGTTCCTTCCGTTTTGTGACGTTTAAGCTGTAAAATGAATAAACAAATGAAATTAGTAATCAATTGATTAAAATACAAGGTAATTCAGTGCAATTAATCACAAAAATATAAAGTTTATGAAGAAAAAAAAACAAAATCGCAATAAAAAAGCAGACAGGTAACGAGAAAACAAATTGATAAAAAAGAAAAGGGTTTCAAGTAAATAAAATGATAATAAAATCAAATTGGTAGTTAATTAAAACGAGATGATTTAGAAACTGTGTGGGCAATGGAAATAATAATCATTTTTAACGAGAATTAATCAAGTTTTTCTTGTTTCTCTTACCGGTTTCAGAATATGTCGACTTCGTTCAATAACGAATTGACAAAATTGTGGGTTATTACTACCCGGAAAATTATGTTTAGCCTTGTGTATGTGTAGTTAGTTGATTAATATGGCAGCGTTAATAATAACAATTTAGAATAAGTAATTAACATTATTATTGTTGAAAATTTTTCTATTTACTATGTTAATAGTTGTTAATCAATGAAATGAAATCATCAGTGTTTCTTTTTTCCTTTCAACATTTTGTTTACTTTTTTGACATGTGAAATTGGTGAACAAAAAAAAACAACTTACCAATACTGTTCCTTTGGGTGGGTGAGGTTGATTAGATACAGAAATTGGTTGGGATTGTAAGGCTTTGCCTCCGGGGGATGATGATAAACGATCAGCTGGATGTTGAACAACTAGATAATTAGAGGCTGATAGAGATTCTGGAACTCTGGATAATTAAATAGACGAAAATGAAAATTAGGTTATATCAAAAAAAATTTAGATTATAATTTAAATTTAAATGATAAATGTGTGAGAGAGAGAGAGATCTACCATGGGAAATAAAGACTCTGTGATAATTATAATATCATTATAATTAACTAATTATCTTCTATTTATTTTAATTGCATTCTTCAGGAAGAGAAATTGATAACCAATTAAATATTGTACCGAATGTTAAGTGACAATGTTAATTGTAATCAATCAATAACTTTCTCTAAATCTAATCAGTTAATCATTGATAAAATAATAAGGTAAAAATTAGCGAAATAATCAAATTGTATATATTTATCTTAAGTGAAGACTCTCATTTTTGATGATAAGTTAATATCATTTTCACCTAATCTTCATTATTATTATCATCATTATAATAATTATTTTTATTACTCTGTCAACATTATCGTAATAATAATAATAATTTTTTTTTCAATGTCTTTGTCATTATTATTGATTAATAGTTGTAAGATATGGTTTATCTTAAGTAATTCACATTATCCATTATCTTATTGAGAGATGAGGAAATTTTCTGTCATCATCATGTATTGTTATCATGTCAAATTGTCATTGGTATCAGGAGAAAATGTATATCATCATCACTATGGATGAAGAATTATTTTTTCTTTATATTACCTTTCTCCTTCTCTCTCTCTCTCTCTCTCTCACTATATTTTACTTACTTTAACATATTTAAAATGTCAAATTCAGCCTCCTCTTCAAGCCATGGAACAGGTTCAAGGAGAACTGAAATATCAAGTTCTTGTACTTCTTTGGGAGTTGCGATTGCAATATAACCAGATTGTGTATTATTTAAACAGAAAGCACTGATATTATCTTGCTCTTTATGAACTATCCTTACAGGATCACCATGATGATGATGATGATGATGATCAGAAGCAGATGAAGTTCCATCACCTTGATTAGAACCATAATCAGCATATTCACTTCCTGGTTTACCAGAGGTAAAAATGTACCTTATAAAAAGATCTTGAACTCTCTCTTGGCGAACAAGGTAATTCCATAATCGTTTCATTGGTTTGGTTATTGCATTGTGTGATCTAAAGGGTGTATTATTTGTTTCGAGGAGAACCTTGTATTTCCATATTGGTGGTCCACCGGGTTGACGATTTGCTTCAACATAATTATTTGGTAAAAAGTTGGACGGAGGACCTTCAAATGATTCCATGTAACTTTTCATGTAAATTGTCCACATTTCAAGGATTTTAAACACTGTATGAATAAGTGGTGAGGTTGTTGGTAATTCACGTAATTCAACACCAGCAATTTGTAAAAATTGCGCCAAATGGATACGAGCTAATTTAATTACTGCGAATCTCATTATTGACCAAGCATATTGTTCAAGATCTTGTTTCTTTGTGTTACGAGCAGTCTCTTGAAGTCCAAGGGTATGTGATGATATTTGACCTGAAACCGAAGTACCAAAAATATTATCATCTAAATCATCAAAACTTTCCATATCTTCATCTTCACTTTGAACTGATTCAGATGAATCATAATCAATTAAAATATAATCATCGGAAAGTTTGGGTTTAGACATTAAATAGGAAATAATTGACATTGATGGTGGGACAAATTGCTCCTTATAAGTGGTACGATCTTCCTTGATTATGTTTGGTGTTTGAGGTGGAGTAGGTTTATCTTGATTTAATTGTTGTAAAATTTTCATATGAAGTTTCATTCGTTGTTGTGAAAGTGCATTGAAAAGGTCAATTGATGTACTTTGCGATTCATCTTTTGAATTCTGTGGTGTTGGTGTTGTAGCAGATTTTGATTGAGTTACAACATGGATCAACTTTTTAGCTCCACCGCCAAACAGGAAGCCCCAAATTTGCTCGTTAAATTCAAGTCCAACCAAACGATATAAAACATGGGAATCACAAGCAGCCAATGCAAAGACCAATTGACTTAAATAGATGGCAACATAAGATTCACAGAGTAGAGTATGTAATTTGGGTGAATCTTCATCTTTATCTCGGGCTAAAAGAGCGCGTAAACTTTGTACCCCAGGCCATTTATTGGGTGGAGTTGTGATGTGTAATGGTTCAGTTGAATCATTTGATCCTGTGGCTGTAGTTGAAGAGGAAGAGGAAGTAAAATTACCACCACCACCGCCAATGTGATGAGGTGACTTCTTTGAAGTATTGTTACCTGCCATTAGATGACTATTGGCACAAACAACGGAAGCACCGAGAAGATCTTCCTTTATGTTTATATTTTTGAGATCTAAATTGTCACTATTAGAAAGAGATTGGTAAACACAAGCAGAAAGAGAAAGTCCAAGATCTCTTAGTACAAATACTTCACAATAACTGAGTGGAAGTGTCAATGGAGGTGCTTTCATTTCCGTTAATTCCATGAGGATATCATTGGTTACTGAGTGAAGATGACGAATTGGATCAGCGATAACTGTTTTCTGACAGGCAACGGAAGCAGCTAATAAAGGTAACGTTGTTGGAAAAGGAAGTGGTGAAAGTAACTGATGTTGACTTCGTTCTTGTTGTAACTCTTGGAGTAACAAGATTAACTCCATACGAACAGAGGCAAGGCCACCACCATGAGCACCATGGAGGCTACAATAAGAGAGAAGAGTTCGAAGGAGAGCCTCATTTCCTTGTAGCCATTCTTTACGTCGAGCAGCTCGTTGTAGTTTAGCCTCAAAGTCAAGATTCTCAGCTAATAAAACTTCATGAAGGGTTGGTTTAAGTTCACCAAAACCAGTTGCCTCTGTTGTTGATTGGTGATGATTATCACGAGCTAATTCCGATTGAGCAAGATCCATGTCTTCCAATATCATTGAACTGGCACGAGCGGGACTAGAATCATGTTCACCATAAGGTTTACCACCTTCACCTCCTCTCATGGAAAAGGTTCGATAATTACAAACAACCTTTAGGGCAATTACACTTTTCTCAAGCCAAACGTACAAATGATAACGAAGTCGACCTCCATCTACTTCGAAACCGGTAGCCAGGGTACTTAACTCTTCCATAAGAATCTTAAGACAAGCAATAAACTTTAATTGTTGTGCCATAATATCTAATTTAACATTTTCACAACCATTTTCCATTTCACTTGTTGTTTCAACTGTTTCCGGTGTTGGGCTTCCTTGTATTTTCATCTCAAGACCTTTATCATCACCATCTTCATCATCATCATCCGTACCCGAGTCAATGGTAATATCAATTTGAAAATCGTTAACATTTACTTTTCCTAAATCTGAAACTGGTGCACCCCAATCAAAGGCATCACTTGTATCAGCAACATTTGATGTTGCCATTTTACCATTACCATTATTGAAAAGGTTTGATGCTAAATTATCACCGGGAAGGTCATTTAATGTACCTGATGCAATTACCTCAGGTGTATCACTGGTTGTATCAATGGATCGATCTTTAGTCAAGAAATTGGCATGATCATCATTAGCAATTTTCAATGGTAACCTTGAGAGAACCTCTAATGCTAATGATGGACAACCAGCTAGGAAATGTTGATGAGCGGTGATAAAGTAAAGTCGCCTCTCGAAAGGTGTTATTGCCTCGCTTGTCTCTTTTAACGCTTCCTTTGAATCTTTCATTGTAACCTTTTTATCTTTAATTGTTTGTGCCAAGTGTCGTCGGACAATAAGAGGTTGATTTCTCAGGTAAAGATAGAAATTAAAAACTGATGGTGTAATTGATATTTCCGCTTTCTCCTCATCAGTTGATGAAAATTTAGGATGTTTTTCACCCGCTTCAGGTACTAAAAGGGTAATCAAAGAGGTTGAATAATCTTGTAACATCCAATAACTCATACTACGTAAGAATGGATCAGGATGAGCTTTAGCATTATCAAAATTTTGACCCTCCGAATCACAACCTAAAACCTCTTGGTAAAGTATTCGTTTCAAATTAGAGGGAACCGTTTCAATATCACCCTCGTAAAGACGGACAATGGTCATGGCAAGTTGCATATCCTCTAGTTTATTGAGACAAACCTCAATTGCATCCCAAATAGCACCACCAAGAAGGAAGAAAGCAGCAGCATGAGTAAACCTTTGTTTACCCAGAAGAGCGTAAGCATTTTTTAATGCTGCTCGTCTCCATTTATCTTCATTAAAATTGTTCTGGAAAAATTCAGTCATCTTACGATCTCCAATTGATCGATATAAACCCCAAACAAGTGACTTCTTTTTCATCGCAAGGTAAAACAAAGCAGCGTCCAGTGGATCTTGAGCAGCCTGGAAAGATGCCTTGGCAACTTGTTCCATAAGCCGACGGAGAACTGCATTATTACGTATCCACCAACCGCAGCCCACTTCACGAAGTTCATTCCATTTAGGATTTCCTTTGGCCACTGAGGGTATAAGTTGAGCCAATTCCTCTTGGGTTTCCGAGTGAAAAGCCCAGACAATATCAGAAGTGGATAAACCTTGTTTCTGTAATAACTTTCGGTGAGCATAGGGAAGACAACGAAGCAGGTAAGTGTGCTGACGCATTGCCAATAAGAAACGTAAACCACAATCATCAAGTGAATCGGCAGATATCGGTGCTCCTTCACGCACTTCCGAACCAAGGCTACCATAATAATCTGAATCATTGGCGGAAACCGAGGAATCTTTTGATGGATTAAATGAGGCAACTGCATCAGCCAAGGCTAGAAGATGCATCTGATCAAGACTAGAAAGTCCAGGAAGATGGGAATGGGTTAGAAGTTTAGTTAAAAGTCGAGCTTGATGAGCATTGAAATCTTTTAGATCAGTTGGATCGGGTCGTTTATTGGCTTTTGAGCCTGAAAAATTGAATGCAGATTTACCAAGTAATTCATCAAGTGTTTCATCGATAGTTGATTTACTGTTTGCACTATTAAAAAGACTATCATAATCATCAAATAATGTTTCTTTTGGCGAGTTTGCTTTGTCACCGGTTGATGGACGTTTAGGTTTTTCATCTTCAGCTTCGATAAGTGCAAATAAGGGAAGTGGCCTTATTGAGGTGATCTCAGTGTAATCAAGTTGAACTTCCTCTGGAATTGAGAGGAAATAATTTTCTGGTGCATCTAAAGGTGAAGGTGCTCCTGGTGAAGTTGGTGGTGGAGCGATGGATAAAGTTCTTGATCGTGTCCAAGTTCGTGGACGTTCAGTTGATTCATAATTTTGACCTTGATTCGATGAGAGATAATTTTTAAGTGAATCCATTGAGCAAAGTGATTTAACTAAATGACTTAGGATTGCTCGAACTCGAGATATTTTACCGAAAGCAAGTAATTCCATCAATTGTTTAGGATGATATTGGGGTAAAACTGGACAAGCCAATCGAGAAGCCTCAAAAATACCAAAATCAGGTAATTGTGATAAATAGGAATTTTTTGATTCATCGCTTGTTTTAATTGAATCTTTACCTATTGAAGGTGGACCATCGGTAGTTGTAGTAGTTGATGATGTTAATATGGTTGTACTGGTGTTAGTTGGTGTTCCCTTTGAAGGCATTTGAGTGTGTTTACGATTTTCACTATGACCACCAGGAAGACCACTGAGTACAGAAGATGAAGGTGATCGAGCAAGTGATGTGTGTGAAGGTAAACGAAGGTGAGATGCTTCTTGAGCATGGATTAATAAACCTTCCTCGGTAAGAACTCGAGAATCTGTAACCTCTGATAACATTTCAGGTCGTTTAGAGGATATTTCACCTTGCGATTTCCATTGAGTATAGATATGCATCTCATTGTCCATTCCAACAACAAGGATACCATCACGAACCCAACTCATTTGCATTGGAAGAGGTGGTAAACCATCAGCTGTTTTTAAATGAGTGGTACGAAGTTTCATCCATCTTATATCATCAACCTGTGTCATTGGAATTGCCATTGAGGAGACTTGTTTAAGCAACATTCGAGTTGCCGGAGCAGCACCAGTTTTAGATGATGTTTTCATTGCTTGAAGATTGGCCTGGGCGATGTCAGTTGAAACTGGAGTGAAAACTGAGATTTTATCTCCAACGGAAACAGTTAAAATGTGAGAACCATCTTCAGTTGAAACCCAATCAAGTTGGACAATTGATTTCTGGGTTAATGTAAATTGATTACCCTGTTCAGAGATAATTTTCTTTAACGATTGCATGGTTGTATAAGATGGTACTGAGAGTAATCGTTGAATATTATTGGTTGAACGATTGGTTTCATGGTGTTCATCATGGGAAACACCTAAACGATGGACAATTGTATCCAAAGTTTTACGATTACGAAGAGCGGTATTAATTAATGGTTCAATGTCAATTTCTTGATTTAAATCGGTTTGTGGTACAACAATATTTTTCAAAGAAATTGTATCTTCCAATACCCATTCTGAACCACCGGTTGATTCACATTCATAGATGGCAAGGTTTATATTTATATACCGAAGATTGGGATCTTTACTTGTTGGCCGTGAAAATGATTGTCCATGTTTATATGCACAAGCTATTCGACCTGAATAGGCACAGCTCACGTATAAAGGTAAACCAGGAACTTCGATTGCACTTGAACGCTCCAAATTGATCAACATTTCCCACTCTTTCCATTCATATTTAATATTATCTTCATTTTTATCATCAACTGAACATCTCCAGAAACGTAAAGTACCATCAGAACAAGCGGTACAAATAAGATAGGGAGCAAAACAAGCCGGGTAAATGTTGGATGAGCTTAAATGACCAGCGGCTGGTGTAGCATGAAGTATTTCAACTCCCTCCGGTATTGGTAAAACTTGGGTACAAACTTTGGTAGTGAGTATCTGAAGGGGAGAGTATGATTGACCTTGACGGAATGATTGATTTTTGGAATGTCTTCTACCACCGGCTCCATTTGCACCGGTATGGGTACCACCACCACCACCACCACCAGTACCACTGCCGCCGGTAGCACCTTCGGTGACTGGTGATCCAGATCGAGAGGATTGATCGATATCACTGTCATCTTGAACTAGATGACTATCAGGAACATAGGCAAACCTATCAGATGAAATGTCGGCAGCTGAATGAGAGGAAATGATTAACTTCCACATATGAAGAACTGATCTTCCGGTATCAGGATCTTTTTCAAGGACAGTTAAGAAAAATGGTTCACGAAAAACTGAATTTTGTCTCAAATCAACTACTGCACCAAGAGATGATTCAACTAGACCAAGATTTTCACGTCCTTGTTTCTCATTCCAACATTTAAAGGCCATCTCTTCACCGCGTAATAATTGATCTTGGAAAACATGAAGCATTTGAGTGTATTGCCAATCGTGTGTTGCATCAGTTATTTCATCAAGTTCAAGAATACACCCTGGTCGTGAGGTTGATTGTAAACTGACAATTTTGAATGCTTGATTAAGATCCGATGCACGATAACCACAGAAATCAGATGATCCAGTTGTATCACTGTTTGGACTTAATGTTTCTGATTGTTGTGAGTAACGTTGGGATAAAGATATTTCCGATAAAAGGGTTCGAGCATCAATTACTGCTTGGTAAACTCTTAATTGGTGACCATCGGAGGCAATGAAACAGGCACTCGGAGAGTTAGATATTGATCCAAGGGTTGTACTTGGTAAAAGGGTTGGAAGCCAAGCAACATTGGCAAAAGCTGCTGTTTCCAATGAGTTAATCCTTGCTAATTCAGTAACACCACCGGACATTGATAATGGTCCAACTGGATCAACTTTCCATAAGATTAATTCTGAACAAAAACCAGAATTAGGCAATCCCTAGATAATTAGAATAGTAATGAAAAAACAATGCAAAAAAATGAGTTAATTTATATCTTTTTTTATATATAGAAAATATTTTTGTTTTCAATTTCAATATTTACCTGTAAGGGAGGGCAACAACTACTTGAGGATGGTGTCCCTGATGGACTTGATGCAACCGATGACCCCATAGATTTGGGAAGTGATGTACTACCTCCGGGAAGATTGTGGTGAGATGTTGTAAGAAGTAGGGGAAGAACCGGATGACAGGAAATATCATTGACTCTAAAACGATGGCCACAAACTCGAGAAACATGGGAGATACTCATTAATTGGGTAAATTTTGTAACCTCAGCAAAACTGATCGACCATAAGTTTAGAGATCCATTTGAATGTTTAGTGGCCATACAGACAGTTGGTGTTAATGAATTTTCAACATCTATTTTACTCCAACGTGAATTACTTTGATTAGTGGTTGAATCTTCTGAACAAGCCTTGGAATCAAGGTTTGATATAACGGAAGCTGATTGAGCCATGGTTGCTTTTAGATTGAGATAAGTTAAGGGTGAGTAAAGAGCAAGATTATGTGACATTGTCGCTGCATCACCTAATGGAATGGCGTTTGGTATTCGTGAGGAAAAGTTAACCTGAGCTTGACGAAATGAACCAGGACAAGCTTCATCTAACCATTGGACAAGCCAAACAAGAAGACTACCATCAACAGGATGAATACTAAATAATAGATCAGAAAGTGAATGCCATTCACGGAGTAAAGCTTCAAATCGTCTATCTAGTAGGTCACTTATTGATGCGGTTGATGAAGGATTAGTTAAATTGTTTAGATCGATTGTTGTTGATGCTGAAGATGAAAGTGTATGACAACTTTGACGACTTTGTTGAGAGTCAAGGTGCTCAGAGGAGGATTCATCTCCTGTACTATGATGATGATGGTGAGTTTTACCTCCCTCTTTATTTGTATGCTGTTGTTGTTGTTGTTGTTTGTGTTTATGTTTATGTTTATGTTGAACTTGTCTACACAATTTGTGTCGTAATTTTTTACTCTGTTCAGCAGTTATGGTTGCATCATTATCCATATTATCCAGGTCAAAGTCTCCCTCAACATCAGCTGTATCACTTTCACCACCTTCACTAGGACCAGAAGCAGCTGATTCAGTTTGCATTATTTTAACGCTAATCTCTTGGAGTAACTTTTCAGCGGCTCGAGTGAAAACCATTTCTTTATTATTTAACCAATGGATCACAAAATTGGGATAATTTTTTGACTCGCAAGATCCATTTGCGTCATTTGGTGATAGACTAGGAACCAAGGGTATATCGGTTTCAGCGTTAATGGAGGCGGCAAGGTGAAAATGGAAACCTGGAGTAATTGCTGTACCACAAACAGCGAAACTGTGAAAATCGTGAACACTAAAGGTTGATGGTAGGGTGGGAATAGGTTCATTTAGGTGACTATCATCATCAGTTTTGGCTGCTTGACGTTTTTTAAATTGACTGAAGGCTTTCATATGTTTCAAGCGAAGAAGAAGTTTCTGTCTATGTCGTTGAGTCTGATTACGAGGGACAGCGTGATTAGAAAGAGTTTCAATTTGGCTAAAATTGACTAAACCATCATCAGGAAGTAAAGTTTGTACCCAAAGACGGCAAATATTATCTCGACAAGAAGTGACTAGCATATTGGCAACTGAACCTCTTGAAAGGTATTTACTTGTTTTACGCCATGAAATTCCGGTTACCGCTCTTGGATGAGCAATGTAAATAAATGAATAGTTAATCTCATCAATGGGATGAGATGATGATTGACGTGAAGTTGTATGGTAAGATTCAAGGTTAGGAGCTGAAGCTGAATGAAGTGGTGTTGTTGTCGAATCAACTTTAGCTGCACTTTCATACCAAACTTTAACCAAACGATCAGTTTTACCAGCGGAAACAAATAATGATCCATCAGGTGAGAAACGAAGGAAACAAACGGGAGATGAGGTTCGACATTGCCAAACACAATTCCAACAAGCTTGTTCCAATTCATCACCATTGATATTTGAAGATTGAATGTTATCAGGATTTATATGAATACCATCATTTCTATTATTATCAATGTTGTTGTTGTTATTATTGACATTATTTGATTTAACATCGTCACAATGATGATTATGATCTTGATGGATGATCTCATCTTCAGAGGAATTGATAAGATGCCAAACTTGTATACAGGTACCTCCAGTAAGTAATTTATTACCTTCTAGAGACCATGAAATAACAGAGACGAAACAATCAGTTTCCAATGAGGCTGTTTGAATCCAACGATAGTCCAATTTATGGATTGAATTTTGCTCTAATAATGGTGTTGGTTCAAATATGTAAACCTTTTTACCATAAGCAGCAGCAATTTTACCAACATCGGTTGAACAATCAATACAACCAACCTGAACATTACCATGTAAGATACCAGGGATTATTTGAACTCGTTGAAAATTACTGGCTAGAATAACTATATTACAACCAGCGGAATAAGCTGTAAATGGGACACCTTCAACACTTCCCACCGAGTAACAATTATCACCCGCATTGACAGCGCCAGTTAATATTTGATGTTGATCCATAATTAGTAAATAATATTGTTTGTTTATTGTAACATCATTTCCATTAAATGGTAAAAATTAAACAGAGAGAGAAAGAGAGAAAGAGGAAGAAGAGAGAAGAAGAAATCGGGAGATAGATGAAACCAATTAACCAGGAGGAGGAGAAGAACAAGAACAAGATGATGAGTACAAATACACACACAATTAAGAAAAAAGAATCAAATTAAAGATAAATATCAATGATGAATTTATCATTTTCTCTCTCACTCTCGCTCTCTTTCAGTTTCTCTCTTTAACCTCTAATCAAAGAATAAGGTTTTCGCCTCTGGTGGTTAATCGATAAACGAATTACGAACCTGCTGCCATCTGGTTTTCCATTTAGATGGTTAAATCTTTTTTTCTTCGAATTTTGATTTTACCGCTTATCCCGTTTTCTTCTTTTCTTTTATTCTTAGTTACCATGGTTACCCTGTTTTCGGAAATAGATGGAGACTAAAGTTCCGGTGTTGGAATTTTGTGTTTGCAAGTTTGTTGTTTTTTTCTTTGGGTTTAATTTACTTTCATTAGTAAATTGTTAATTTAATTATTTCTAATTTTGTTTAATAATTGGTTCATTAATTAGTTGAAATGGTGAGTTTTCGATTGTTTTTGTTTCTTGGATGTGATTGTGATTCTTTTGGTGGTTTGGTTAATGTTTTCTAATTGTCTCATGTTTTTCTTTTCTTTTCTTATGGTTGGGGTTTTGTTCCGGTGTTTTTTTTTTCGTTTGTTCTTTGGACTTTTTAGGGTATTGATATTTGCCACAAAAATGACCGAAAGGTTAGGAGGAAAGCACCTAAAAGTAAGGATCCATATCTTGCTTTGTTAGTTAAGGTAAGTTTTTCACTCTCCATGCTCTTGTGGTTTCTTTTGGTTCACAGTGATTAATTTACTCATTTTCTGCTTCTTTTTCAGCTTTACCGATACCTTGCACGTAGAACTGGAAAGAAATTCAATCAAATCATCTTACGTCGTTTATTTATGAGTCGAATTAACCGGGCACCAATTACTCTTAATGGACTGGTTAGTTTAATTTTTGTTTTCGTGTTTTTTACCATTCGAGTTGTGATTCACTTTTACCTATCACATCTGATGTGGCAAAATGAGACATGCTTTTTATTCATTTGACTTTATCATTTAGCTAATTTATCTTTTTTTTTCTTGTTTTCTTTCTTTTAATTCTCTAATTTTTTTTTGTTTAGACTCGACATTTGAAAAAACCTGGTAATGAAAATAAGATTGCTGTCGTTGTAGGTGATGTTTTGAATGATGTTCGTGTCCATGAGATACCTAAAATGACCATTTGTGCACTTCGATTCTCAAAACAAGCTCGTTTAAGGATATTGGAAGCTGGTGGTAAAGTTTTAACTCTCGATCAACTTGCCATTAAAGCACCTACTGGTAAAAACACTCTCCTCATCCAAGGAAGACGAAATGCTAGAGAGGTTTGCAAACACTTTGGTCCAGCTCCTGGTGTTCCTCATTCCCACACCAAACCTTACGTTAGAGCAAAAGGACGTAAATTTGAAAAAGCTCGTGGTCGTCGATCCAGTCGTGGTTATAGGAACTAAAAATACCATAGGGATTTATAATTTGTTCAAAAGAGTTGATAAAAAGGATAAATTATCTTTATTTGCTCTTTTGACGCAAGTCAAAATTGTAATAACAATCCAAATGTTTGACAATTTTCAATTAAAATTGAGAAATGTTTAACCTTTGACAAAACAAAAAATCAATTCAATTCTTCATATTTAATCATCAACTCTCTCTCTCTCTCTCTCTCTCTCTCTGTCAACAACAATCAATCCAACTATTCAAAAGCCTTTCGATCAATGAATCCTTAAATTGTACAAATCATCATCAAATTACCAAGTGAAAATTGATGATGAATTAACTTACGGGACAGAAATACTTAATTACTTGAAATCATTGATCAATAATCAGACAATAACAAAAAAAGTGATTACCAATTATTTTGATTGGTTTTCATTTCAATCAACAATAACCAAGGCAATGATAAAAAAAACTAAACAATTGATTGAGTGCAAACAAGTTTTAACCTTCAGAAATCAATTAATTGACCAACATGTAACTAAATTGTTGACAAAGTTTACCTGCTTTGTGACCAATGGTTATAAACCGCAATGGTTGTCCAATTGATCAACTCAATTAATCAATAAACCAAATTGATTAAATGTTAATGATTATTGTTCATTGACCATCAAAGTTATTTGATCAATTTGGTCAATAAATGGTCAAGATAATTATCTCTCTCTCTCTCCCTATAATTGAAGTGAAAGTTTAACCAGAATAACATTGATTAAGTTGATTTAATGAACTTAGTGAAACAATTAATTTAAATTCAGTTTGAAAAACGTCAAAAAAAAGTTAATTGTGAAACTTTGATACAAAAAAAAAAGATTGTGAAAGTTTTAATCAGAATACAAAATGTTTACCTTATATCTAAGAATAGTAATTTAATTAAATTACCATCGCACTTGAGTTTCACTATTTTGTGAATACATTTTGATTAAATTAATTAATTGTGATTCTCAAAGCAACAGATCAAGTTGATCAATTACAATCAATTACAATTAAATGATTGAAATAAACGTAAGCCTTTTTTGTTTGCATTTTGCTAAACTTAATCTTGTTTAACCCAAAGGTTGAAACGTTAATCAAATTGAACTAAATTGTTATAGAAAATTTAAATTGTTAAAAGTTGTTATTGTTTACAATTAAATTAAATCTGATTGAAAGTAAAATCTGAATGAATTGAGACAAAGATCAACGTGATCTCAATGGGAAAATAAGGTTAACATTAAAGGTACAAAGATGATTCCGTTTATTTTGTTCTGGAGTAACAATAACAATTCTGGTATTGATTAACACAGAAAGATGAGGATGATGAGGATGATGAAGATGATGAAGATGAAGAGCAGAAAAGAGAGAGAGAGAGAGCAAGAAGATAAAAGGAAGATGAAGATAGAGAAGCAAAAGGTAAACCCATTTCTATTTCATCTGAACAACAATCATGCTCTTTATGGACTTTACCTCAGCATTTTGTATATTATTTCTCATCCCTTTTCCTATCTTCATCATCATCCTTGTCATCCTCGTCATCCTCATCATCTTCATCTCTTTCTTTCCCTCTTTCTCCTTGTATTTTACATTATTTACTCAATACAAATGGTGAAAACGTTACAAGTAAACTTACCTTTTTCTTCATCATATTAACCGTTACAAGAGGAATCAAATTATGGTTAATCTTACTTTTTGCTCTTCTTTATCATCTTTATCTTCCAAATCATCATCATCATCATCCTTATCCTCATCATCTCTTTACATTCTAACCTGTGCTTAGATAACAACAATAATAATAACACCGCGAACCACTGGTTACTTATATTGAGAAAATTTTTTTTTTCTTCTCCAAAAGTTATCATCATCTTCTTAAGCTCTTTGTCGAAGGAGAAAATAAACTATTCTATTCCATTGTTACTATTTATCATCTTAAATAGTTCATCTTCGATCCTTGAATATCTTCCTTATCATCTTAGCTCTTTTCGAAATCGTTATCATTCACTTTTACTTCGATCTCTTCTTCTTCTTCTTTTTATATATTCGATTTCTCCATCAGACAAAAAAAACAAATTCTATTCCCATACAAACTTATCTTCTTCTCGAGTTCTAACTTAACTTTCTTGTACTTTCTTTCCTCTCATCCTCATCCTCATCATCTTCATCATCATTAACCATCATCTCATTACCTTGTCTTCATGTTACCTTAACTAAGGATGGACACAAAAACAAGATAAAAGTGTAAGTTTATCATCAGTGATTAGATGACAATTTAAACATAATCATCAAACTAATCATCATTATCACCTAAATTCACACAATAATAAGATAGTTATCAACAATTAACGATAACAAAACCTGTTCAAATATCTAAAGGTAACAATTTAAATAAAACAACATCACAATCAAATTATAAATCATCTCAATTTCAACAGTCTCAAGTCAATATCTTAAAAATTAACACTCAAATTAAAAGTTTATCCTCATCAATCAACACCACTAACAAATTATACACATAAATTTTGTGCTAATTATCATAATCAAATTGATTGTTTTCCTCAGAATCATCATCATCATCATCATCCCGATGTTACATTTTCATCAAGTGTAATAGTTTCTAATCAAATCATCATAATCAATTTAACCCAAATCACCAAATTGAGAAAATTGAATAAGCCGAAAACATCAATTACGATCTTGAAATCAATATCTAATACCAATCTCGATCCATTACCTTTAACCCTTGCCCTAAATAACCAACTAATTTAAAGTGAATTAAGTTGATCCATCAAATTATCACCATCACCAGTTTCAATAATTTTCTCAGCTCGATCTTCATGATGCAACGTAGTTTGCGGATGAATGATCTTCAGCTAACTGCCTTGGCCGATAAAGCCCTTCACGATAACGGTAAAAAGGGTTACCTTTTCAAACGAACCACCGAAGGGTCAAAATGGCAACTTCGTTGGTTTGTCCTTTATCAAAATCTATTCTTCTACTATGATCATGAAACCTCAGGTAAACCCTGTGGATTAATTTTCCTGGAGGGTTCTTATTGTTCAAAGGCAATACAAACTGGATCAAGTAAAAATTCAACCCATTTACAGGTAAGAATCAAATTATTCTTATAACAATAATAACAATTAACTTTAATTTCTTCATGTTTTCATGGTAATTTTTTGAGACCTACAAATGTAACGGTAAATTTGTTTTTCCTCTCAACTTAAAATTCTGAAATGATTGAAATTGAATTACGATTCAATACGATGATGATTTTATCTGCGATTCAGTTTTGATTGAGCTATATGATAATCCTGCTAACTAATAATTGCTAAAATAATGATATAAAATTGAAATTTTCAGAAAATATTATTTATCAGGAATTCCAGAGATTCTGGATTATATTTAGATTGAATAATAATCATGATAAAATATGAGAGAGAAAGATTCAAGTTCTGGCCATGATGAAAATATCAACATGATGATGATCATGAATTAATATCAGCTGAATAACTGATAAACTTTATGATTGATTGCAAACTAATAATAATAAATTACATGATTACGATTAACTTGATTGTTATGACTATTGGAGGATTTTGATTAACTGTGATATTAAACAGATCACATCAATTGGTTCAATTGTTAAATCACAATTAACTCAATGAATTATTCAATCTCTGGATTATTATGATAATCATAATGGACAGAAAAACAGAAAAAAAATTAAATTAATTTGATTAATTTGATTGAATTGTTTTTCTTTTCGTTAATCAACTTTGAAGACATTAAAAAAACTTTCCCAATATAAGATAAACAATGAAAGAAATGCGAAGAAAAAAATTAATTGATTAACTTTGATTAGCTGATTGTTAGATTTATAAGCCAAAGAAATAGTTAATTGATTAGATTTAAGTTAATTGTTTCCCTTTTCAATTGTAATTGAGTATCAAATCAATTTCTACTCGTTAATCTGATAAAGGTTAATGTTACGAAAACGTTGTTCTTGTTGTTGATCTTATCCTTTTGTTGACTCACAATTGGATTAATTTTAATCTTTTAATTCAACAATTTCAATTGTGATTAATTTGATTTTATACTTAAGAAGTATTTGAAAACTTTAAGGTCTTATTATTTTCGCCATACAATGAGTTATAATTGGAAAATAATATCATTATTAGAAGGAGTTTGAATCTTCATGGAGAAAGAAAAAAAAATTATAACCAGAAACAATTAACTCTCCGAGAATTATTATATTATTATCATTAAAAGTTGAAAAAGAATATAAAAAAAAATTAGAATCGAAAAAAATTCTGGTAAATCTGAGAAGTTAAGTTGCTTTATATTCACCATGGTTTCTCACAACTCACCATGGATCATGATACAATTTCATGAGAAGGTGGGAAATATTTATGTATGTATGTATACAGAAAACTCGAGTCTCATGTAACATGAACTTTCCAATGAATATCAACATGGAATTGAAAATTTTTGTTTGAGAGTTTTTGTTTTGTTCTTATTCAACAAATTCTGGTTCAAGATGAAAAATTCATGTTTGAACTGAGAAAATTGTATTGAATTGAACAGTAATGATGGCGAAAATGTTATCCGATATTATCACTATTACCATGATAATGATAACGATGATTATTGTATTATTATTATCATCTTACTGAAAATATTTACCCTAAATTGTTAACCCTTAAGTTGAATTAGATCATCATTATTATCATTAAATGGTGAATAGTTCAACAGGGAATCATCATCAGTATCATCACTATTTTTCACCATGATGACTTTTCTGTATCAACAAGATTATATTTGTTGTTGTGATATAATCACCATGACCCAGGGAGAAAAAAACATCAGATTAATCCCAATGTCATCATGAGTATCATTACCATTATCATGAACAGTTCGAGTTGAGAGAGCGAGAGAGAGAGAGAGAGAAAGTTTCGAAAACAAGGAAGAAGACGAAAAAAATTTTTCTGACTATTCTCATGATAATCTACTTTCACTGAGAATTGGAACTCAATTGTCACCCAATCCTATTAATTATCATTGTAATTGAACTCAATTAGTAGAAGCGAATGTATAATTTACATCAACAAGTTTTATGAGCCAGAAAAACAAAAGGCAACCTGATTAAATCCTGATAATGATACTTGATGATAACATGATAATCAGAATTATTCAGTGGGAAGAGATAGATTAGATTCTCCAGTTGATCAATCCAATGAATTCTTTTCCTGATATTTTTTTTTGCTCTTCTTTTATTCTCACTCTCTCTCTCTCTCTCTATCTTTTCATGTATCTCCCAATTGGTCATTATCATTATCATGATGATCTTGTTGTCGATATAAATAATAATGTCTTGATTCAATCAGAATTCACAGATTAAACTTTTCACCATAACTTGTGACAATTGAGTTCTGAAGAAGAAGAAAATAAAATAGTTACTTGGTGAAAGATTTTCATCTCAATAGGAAATTGTATCTGTATGAATAGTCAGAGGAAATTATTTCCTTCCCTTTGAAAATTTCCCAATTCAGGTTTAGAAATATTGATTCTGTTCATTGGTATAACCAGAATTTCATGGAAATTGGAATATTCAAATTATCTGAATATTTGAAATTCTCTTCATCTCTTTCTTTCCTCGATTTTCCCCACACTTTCTTCTGTAAAATTCTTATGAACAACATGAGTTATCATGGAAAAGAGAGAGAGAGAGAAATGAAAAAGGAAGCAAAAAGTTGAGATAAAAAAACGATAGAGTCAATATTCATCACCACGATCCAAGAGTAACAGTAAACACTTCCGGGGTTCAATTTTATCGGTGCTCAGTTGAGAATCTGGTTTCAAAAGCTTCAACCATGAATATAAATACACATGATGAGCAATATCATGGAACGAGAAAAATATATATTGAGAATTATCAACTCGAAAGGGAAACAAAAATCAATAACCCGAAACAATAATGTGCCAAAGTTTATGTACATTATTATATAACAATTGAAGTCCATTTATTATCGTTGTAATAAAAAATAATGATGATCAGCCTCCAGAATCAGGGTGATAATGAAAAATGAAATTAATATGATTACCATGATGAGGATGATCATGATGAGAATATAATAATAAAAATGGTGAAACTCGTAAATCAACTGAACAGAATCAAAGATAATTACTCAATCAATCTGATAATATCATGATAGTAAATGAACAATTGAAGGATCGAAATGAAATTAGAAGGAAATTTTTTTCCCTTTCTTTTAATTGTTAGATGAAACTTTCACCTCGAACCTTAATTATAATTAAATCATTTGGTATAATTTATGATGCAATTTAAGGTGTACGTTGATTAGTGTAAATTACCAATGCAATGGTTTGTTAATCATCAACGTTGATTATGATTAACTTGATTTACCTGAGAGTCTCTGATTAATGATACTACACAATAAACAAAATGTTAAAGATATAAAAAAAAGTTTAATTAAATAAAGTGCCATTGATAAGTTGAAGTAATTAGTTTAATTATTAATAGACTGATGATATTATCACTGATTAATCTGAGAGATTAATTCAATCATCATCATGATGATCATCAGCATCATTGTTTGTTATTATTATTACAACATGATTAGTTTTTGCTGATTGATCAAATTAGATAAAAAAATTTAATCATTCACTTGTTAATTATATTAATACCAAAAATAATCAATTGATAATCAAAATTGATCATCATTTGATTGATGGTAAATAAGTAAATTAAACTTGCTCATTTGATTGAAAGTTTTATTATCTTATTGTTGCTTTTTTTTTGTTTGCTTGTTGTTGTGGGGTAGATTTTATGATTGAGGGAAAGATCTTAATAAAGATGAATTTTGAGTTGCCGTAACTCTGAAAGTCTATTGACTTGGATGAGGATTTGATTTCGAAAAGAAGATTTTCGGCCCACAATACCGAAGAACAAGATTCGTAAGGATCACCTCTTACAGTATTACCACTACACTTCACTTGATTCACTTTGTGTTCTAACTCTAAGAGTTCTCACAAATTCTAATGAATTGAATTAAAGAGAGAGAAGCAAATTTACTTTGCTGAGAAATTTTATTAAATTGAAATTGAAATTAAAGATGGATGGATGGATGGATTGATTAATTGAATTTTTAGGAACAATTAAAATTAAGATGAGCACTATTCTAATGTTGAAATAGAACTGAAGATTAATTTGAATTGATGTTCCTTAGGAACGGTTAACTTGAGGGGAAAAACAAATTAATCTGGGGAAAGAAATTTGGATGATTAAATAGGGGGAAAACAAATTAAGCTAAATCATCATAGTGATAAGAGTAATGATGAGTTACAAGTTAAAGATGAACAAAAGAAAAGAAAACCAAATGTTACTTATGGTTAACTTGAACAAAATGAAGATAAGATAAGGGGTTAAGCTTCTAGGCTTTTACAATACAAAATCTAAAAAATGAAAGAAAGAGAAAAGAAAGAGGGAAAGAAAGAGAAAATCGGGTCTCTTACTATTTGGTCAACTTTTAGGTTAACTTAAAGATGAGAGATTTGGGTTACAATTACAGGTAATTAGTTAATTGTTTTAAACAAAATTAATCATTGAGAAAATTAAAATGATTATATCTTTAGATATAGATTGATTAACATGATTGGTTAAATATTTGGGATTATATATTTTTGTTAACAATTAAATTAACTTGATTAAGGATATTAATCAATTCAATTGGTTAATTGTAACAATGGGGAGATACAATTATAGTTGTAGGAAAATTTCAATTGTTAAATAGAAAATAGAAAATTAGAAAAGAAAGGAAAAGAAAAGAAAAGCAATTAAGCTTAAAGGCGCGCAATTAACTAATTGTCACGAAGGGAAAATTGGAATTAAATAGAAAATTAAATGAAAATTAAATAGAATTAAATTCTAAACAAGTTCATCAAATCACTATAGTGATCGAAACGGAAGACTGATGATTTCAGGATTTTCTACCCTTCAGTCCCTAGCACTTTGATGAAGATACTTCTTCAGGGTTTCGTTATCGATACGATTGTTATTTGGTGAGCTTTGTTTAGATGATGAAGT